GATATTTGACTTTAATTTTGATAGGAACTTGTTATTGTGAATTTTTTACGACAAAAACCCGTGGGTACCCATGAACCCGCGGATACCCAGCGGGTTGGGTTGGGTTTGAGTTTTTCAAACCCAGTAAATTTTACCCCGATTTTTTCCACGGATAAACCCATGAGTTTGGGTTTGGCAAAACCCGACCAAACCCGACCCATTGCCATTCCTAATCACTTCCAATCCCGTCATTGTCCTAGTCGTTATATCTTTAAAAGCCCTTTAGGAAGTGTTCTAACTTGTATTATTAATTGAGAAAGGATTAGATCATATGCACAGGTAGTGTTACATGATATATCCAATAATACAATAAATACTCGGGTAAATGCCATGTTTGGTTATTGAGATTACTAAATTGTGTTATGTTAAGTCACTAGAAAAATTAATATTAATTTTGGTCACTCGAATTACCAAAACATGTCACATTTAGTCGCTCTCTCGTTAGCCTCCGTCTAACTCCGGTTACTCGAATTACTTTTTTTTTTATTATGAATGTCACTCGAATTACTGAAACATGTCACATTTAGTCAGTCTCCGTCCAACTCCGTTAATGGAGTTGGACGAAAACTAACATGAGAGTGACTTAATGTGACATGTTTCAGTGATTCGAGTTGCCAAAATTGATATTAATTTTTTTAGTGACTAAACATGACATGATTTAGTAATCTCAATGACCAAATGTGCATTTACCCATAAATACTTTGTAGGATAAAAAAAATTCAAAGAAGGATCAATAGCCATGCATAAAACCAAACAAAACAAAGCATGACTTTGGCTGCCCTAATACGAACATTTAGGCGTCGATTAGAAGTTGCGATTAACGGAGTTGGACGAAAACTAACATGAGAGTGACTTAATGTGATATGTTTCATTAATTCGAGTTGCCAAAATTGATATTAATTTTTTTAGTGACTAAACATGACATGATTTAGTAATCTCAGTGACCAAATGTGCATTTACCCATAAATACTCTGTAGGATCAAAAAAATTCAAAGAAGGATCGAAAGCCATACATAAAACCAAACAAAACAAGCATGACTTTGGCTGCCCTAATACGAACATTTAGGCGTCGATTAGAAGTTGCGATTGTTAAATAGATATATTCTTGTAAATACACGTATAATATTAACTTCATGTATTGTCGAATTTGATGTATTGTAAAATACAACGTTTGGTATGTATGTCATATAAATTAAAAACTAAGCAAAACAATGTCAACTCAACTATTTTAACAATCACAACTAAAAGTTGAAATATGACAATCAGTCATTTTGAGTGATAGTTTCTGTCACATATGAGAAACAATCCATGTATTGTTGCTTCTAAAAAATAAAAAAAACAATGCATTCTAAACAATAGTATAGTATAACAGTAACAACAAAACATTTACAACTTCCAAATTATTCCTTATATTATAGGGTAAATACAATTTAATATCCAAACCTTTCATTTTAAACAATATAATAGCCAAACCTTTTTGAAAACAATCTAATATTCAAATCGTCAACTTTCCGTTCGTTTGACCGTTAGTTGACTCTTCAAAAAAGTTCGAAGTACGACGCCTCATCAATATCCATCGATATCTTCTCTAAAAAACCACCAACATATCGTGGTTCCAAACCCGAGAAGTCCATGACTCCACCATAATGATATAGAATATCTAAATATCCAGTCACCTACAATGCCAAAACAAGAAAACAAAGTTGTATTGTGACAATTTCCCCTAAACAAAGTTTTTTTGAAGTGTCAACCAACGGTCAAACGAACGGAAAGTTGACGATTTGGATATTAGATTGTTTTCGAAAAGGTTTGGCTATTATATTATTTAAAATGAAAGGTTTAGATATTAAATTGTATTTACCCTAAAAATTATTCATAAGGTTACAACTTGAATTTTGATAAATTTTTTGTTTAGATACAGATCAATTAGATTTTTACTATTGTAATTAACAAGTATAATTAACTATCATGAAGAACGTTATCTCTAAAAAATGATAGCATAATTTCTTATTCAATCCACTGTTGCTTTGATAGATAATTATATCATGCGAAATGTGTTCAGTTATTAGGTGTTTACTATCGTTATTACCCTAGAAAACTATAAATCATTGTGAAGGTGACCAATCAACACAAAGAATTAAACAATTCTACAAGATAGCTGCGACCTAGAATGGAATTAGTTAATGGTGAAAGGAAACAAAATAACAGTAACATCTAATAATCTCCATGACATTAGTCAATGTTCAGCCAATCCATCCATTGGTTGATGCTTCCTTATTGTCGCAAAAGTATCATCAACAACGACACTTCTTCCCTGCTTCCCTGCTTCCCTGCTTTCCTTTCCTTTCTTGCTTCTGCTTCTCCTAGCTTCGTTTTAGGCTTTTTTCCCTCGGATTGCAATCGGTTTTCTCCCTTTTCCAGCCTTTATGGCCTTCCAGTTTCCAGCCTTTATGGCCTTTCAGTTTCCAGCAGATCTGGATTTTCATCTTTCACTCCTGTTGAGCTTTATGTTCTTCGGTCGTTGATTGGAGTTCTTGTCGGGGCTTGCTCATGTTGGGATCTTGAGTTGGCAGCTTGGGAGCCTCATCGCGCTCTGTTTTGGTGGTTGATGCTCCGGGGCTGGTGGTCTCATCTATTTGGTGTAGCCATTCCTTACGTCTCCCCTTCCGATCTCCCCTTGCTGTCAGAATGCTGCTTGGCCGTTCATCGGAATGTGGTGGGTAGGGTCTCCTCTTGGTGGTTTTGGCTGTTGTCCGGTGTTTCCTCAGAGTTTGGGGGGTCCGGTGTTTCATCGGAATGGATTGACCACTCTGCCTCAACTCCCTGTGCCTTTTTCAGCTCGGAGCAATCTAGTTCACATCCTTGCCCACCGCCATGTAATTTCATTTCTGAGATTCACTGTGTTGGATGCCTTTGAGTTTTCCCCAGGAGGCGGCTTATGACATTGCTTTGCTCAATCGTCATGGACTTCGGTGTGATCGGACGAGCTGATCTTGATCTTGTTGCTACTCTGTTTGGTTCGGATGCGTGAGAGGTTTGGAATGTTATCGTTTTGGATCAAGTGTTCGGTCCCTTTGGGTGGTTGATTTCACTCGGTGTTTTGCTCTTATTTGATGTATCTCTCAAGCACAGTTTGTGTCAACTGTTTGCTCTGAGGTGCCTGTGTTTGGTTTGATTCGATTGTTTTTCATTTTCCCTCTCTGTAACCTATTATTCATAGTGCAATGCAAGATTTTTCACTGTAAAAAAAAAAATACTATCGCGGTTGGCTGTAAAAGCACTAAATATTGCAGGTGTCTCTATGATCTCGCGGAGAAAAGGTTTCAACACATTGAGTTACCCCAAGGGTTGAACAAGACTTGTCGTGGCTCTTCATTCATATGGTTGTTTATGACGGAGAGCTCTACCAAGAATCCGATATAAAAGTGATGTGTTAAGGACGGTGTAAACAGAGATGAGAAGTAACTTGATTTTGTGGAGTGGAGGACTACAGAGAAATTTCTGGGAATTTGTGGTTTGACAAAATGAACTGATTGGTATTGACTTATCATCTGGATAAGAAGATAGCTCGACGCCGCCGGCCGGAGAAGGGCGGCGGAGCAATTGCTGATAGTGGCTCGGAACTGAAACAGTAAATATCTTTGCCCGGGTGTTTAAGTGCTCTCACTCTCGTCGTCAAAACTCGCATTTTTCCACCCTGTCACCCACCGACCTCCGTCCTTCACTCACCGACCAGCTTGTTCAAGGTTCCCGGGCGATTAATTTCTCTTCCTCTTCTTCGCGCCGGTCAATATACCGCTTGAATATTGCGATATTTCGTGATATCGCACAATCTCGGGAATTTCATTTTATTGGAAACTTATCGCATTTCGCTTTTGGTTTGAGAATTTGATACATTTCGCGTTTCGACGTTTCAATCGTGGGTATCGCGTTCCATATCTTCGTATCGCGATCGTTTGTTCTTTTTGCGCGATATCGCTAGTTTATCGTATCGTCTAGTCCGTCCTGGTTCTCTGTTTCATTTTAAGTCTTTCGGCTTCTGGCTGGCTATCCCGGGCGATTCCTCATCTTCTCCTTCCGTATTCGATTGGTTTCTGGGCGCAATTTCTGGTACGATATCGATTTCTCTGATCTTTCATAATCTGCTGATTTCCTCGAACGCTTCTGTAATTTCTCGTCGGACGTGAGATCTTTCCATATGATTTCTGTCCCTCCATCAATGGAGGAGAATCGACGTTTCCTCCATCCTTAAACATAATTACATAGCTGAAACTATGGATTAGATGTGGCTAGATGGCCTTTACAATCAGTCATGTTCTTATTCATGTTGCGGCTGCGAGAGCTGTTTCGTTCTGTGAGAGATGGGAATTTGGGATTTTCTCATTTTTGGTTGGGGAGCTAGTCAATTCGAAAGCATAGCGCTGTGACTGCCTAATGATACCGAGGTGAGGCGCTGTGGGGTTTGGAATTAGAATCTACTTAGAAAATTCGTTAGGCTGAGATTGATCTGGAACTGCAAGGGTACAAATGCTGCTCGGTTTTAGCTGTGGCTGTTATTGTTAGTGTTGTGGTATATGATCCACGATTGAACTTCTCCCAACAACTCGAGTTATTGGGAGAAGTTCAATCGTGGATCATATACCACAACACTAACAGTTATTACACACAATAGTTGATTACTGCCGATTCTGGTTAGGACATGTCTTCTGATGGTTCTGTTTTTCTGTGATATCTAATATGGGGTTCAATCTATGTAACATTATTAAGGAAAGGTAAGAGGCGAGCGAAGATTGAAGCTTGAGAAATTCTTGTTATGCCTTTCAAGATGAATACTGTTGTTAGATGGCCACGTTGGATGGAGCTTCTAGATTGATTCGACTGCATTAACATAGAGTCCCTTTGGGCATTTGGTTGAGATAGCTTTGTTCCCACTTGATCAATCAATGAGTTGATTCAAATTTGAGTAATGATGATCTCTACTTGTTTGTTTCTTTTGTTGGGTACAGAGATTGTAAAGAGAGCTCAGGAAGTGAAGACTAGAGAGATACACATAAAAGGAGCAGGACAGGCTTGGAAATGGCTTCAGTGGTGAAGGGTGTGGTGAATGCTATCAAAGAGAAAGGCGTTGGTGGCTTCTTGCGGGAGCTGAGAGGAGAAGGCTACTTGTATGTCTCACTCCACTCCCAGATCTTTCTTTTTCTTTTGCAGGATATTTGGATTTCATTTCTTGACACCCGTTTTCAATGATTTTCTGAGGTACATGCTTACTCTACTTGTTTGTTTTTCACTCTTACTCACGATGCTATTGTTGGACAGGAAGTGCATTTTGGATGGGAACCTTTTGTAAGTTAAATTTTGCTCGCTTGACTTTTGTTATGGTTCTCGATGTGCAAGGTCATCTTGTATGTTGATGGACCCCTTATTTCTCAGCACCTGTCCTTCTGTTGCTATGCAAACTCATATGCCTCTCTATACTGGGAATTTGTTGATAGGCAAACCAAAATCCACAATATAGGGGCAACAGTTGTTGGGGTCGACAAATTTGGCAACAAGTACTATGAGAAGCTGGGAGATACCCAATATGGTCTGTACTTATTGTTCCTTATCTATCATCTGCATAAGCTAAAGTTATTGCTCAGGGATTCTGTATGTTGTCTTTCTGCAAATTTCCTAGAATAGTGAGATTTTAGATTGTGAAAGACACGCATTATCTAGCTAGTGTTCAGAACTGCTCATATTTAAGCCTCCTCGTGTGAATTTCTCATAACTTATGCGATGATGTAATTTTATAGGGAGGCACCGTTGGGTTGAATATGCAGAGAAAGGTCGATATAATGCTTCTCAGGTGCCACCAGAATGGCATGGTTGGCTTCATTTTATAACTGATCATACTGGAGATGAGGTAAGCATCGGTCATCTTTTCTAAGTTTAAAGGAAGTGGTGGTCTGATTTTTGCTTTTACTAAGTAGTTATTGTTCTTTCAGCTTTTGATGCTGAGGCCAAAGAGGTATGGCGTGGCTCACAGGGAGAATCTCTCTGGAGAAGGTGAAGATCAGATTTACCACTCTAAAGGACATGCACTCAATCCGGGGCAGAAAAACTGGACTAGGTACCAGTCCTGGGAACCAGCAAAGAAAGAGTAATAATCTGAAGATCCAGACTCGGGTAAATTTGGAAATCCTGAGTGTTGCAGTCCAATTCCCATCAATAAGTGCATTGGAACTTGTCTTGTTTGTCTGCATTTGCATAGCTCTAAAAAGACATAGTTTTCAGACGTCAGCCCATATGAATACATAGTCATGGTATTATGCTGGTTGATGTGTGGTTCCTGTAATATCAGAATGCTGTCGCAATTGTTTCACCAGTGAAAGATTTGGTAAGAATGTGAAATGCTCTTGTGTTTTCATTGCCAACGGAAGTGCCTTATAGCATATGAGCCCTTGATATGCTGCATGCATGCATGCCAGAGCCAGAACATGGATCCTTTCTCAACATCTAAAGTGCAAATGGGTGGTGCCCATTTCGCATGTTCTCTGAACCTGTCTTCTGATGCCTTTCTGGATTTTCCAGCCTCTTTACATTTGTCCTTGAATTTTCCCATTCAAGGTATTTCTTCTCAGAAACTTCACGTCGGTCTGAGGGCATTGCCTAAGGGGGAAATAGGAAGAATCTTCCAGATTAAGCTGTCGATCCTTCTAGTGGTGAACTGGTGATAGTGAGAGTTGGCTGTTGCTTATTGGCCTGCACAAATAGGATCGTGATAGTTAATAGGAAAACCGCGTGTTTGCTTGCTGTGTTACTTTTCCATCTTCAGTCTTTCCCAGCTCGTTGTTGATTTTGTCTTGTCAATGTGGGCTCAGTATTTGTTTATATTCCCTGTCTAGACCTCTCATTTAACACTCCTTAGCGGAAGGCAACTTCCTTCGCGGGAGTGCAGTGCGGGACACACTTGACTTGACTTGGAAGTTAGAACTTAGAAGCGCTAGTGTAGTGTGGAACTAGAAAAGTCTCCCTTGCCTTAAATTTCCAGGGGCCGCGTGACCCCAACTCTACCTACCCCTTAAAAACCTTGGGGAGTATCCTCTGGCAGAATAACCAGCTAGGTAGAGTTTGAGGTAATGGCGATGGATCTCGACGATGAGCGTCAGAATGCCAATGATGATTCATTGTTACGATGCCGCACTTTCCCACGATACTTGCCCAAACCAAACCCAACACATTCCAGCGACTCCCAGGGCTGTCAGGAACTACATCCTGTCTGTCCGGCAGCACGCCATCCGACTACGAAAGGTCAAGGACTTCCTCCTCCTCCAGCTTCCTTTTCACCATCTCATCATCTTCTTCATCCTCACCCACCCCCTAGCTCCCAGCCCAGAACCCGCAGCAACGTTCCTACCGGTGCACCTTCCACGGCAAAGAAGCCATCGTCTTCCGTCTGGCGTACCCTCCGAGCAGCATCAGAGAGAAGCTGAAACAGCGTCTATCCATCATCGGTGTGATTCGTCACTCAAATGTCGTCCAACTCATCGGAGTTTCAATGCCCCCACAAGGAACCTTGCGTCAACCTGATTTAATTTACCCCTTCGTCGATGGGCCTACCCTGTCTGACCACTTCCATCTCACCCGATGACCATCTTCCCTACAACGACCACGTCATGATGTGGAGGTTGAGGATGCAGAGGTGGCAGTCGAGGATGGAGGTCGTGGCCTGGATTACATCCACCACTGGACGGGGTTAGAGGCCGTCCTCGTCCACAACCACATCAAGAGCTCCAACATCATCCTCGCTCAGGGCAGCGGCTCTCAGCCATTCATCAGAGCCATGATTTGCAATTTTGGGCTCGCGCATGCTAGTGGGGAGGCTGCTGACGACGATGGCCATGGTCATGGATGCGGGCGGGAAGGCGAAGAAGGGTACCACCCGTACATGTCGCCAGAGCTTCTCCGGGAAGGGGCGTTGGCAACGCAGAAATCTGATGTGTACGCGTTTGGAGTGTTGCTGTTGGAGCTGCTGTCGATCGGGTACAGAGCCATTGACGTATGTATATATAGTTACGATGCTGCCGACAACGTGTACGAGCGAAGGTCGACAGTGGAGACGGCGAGGGCAGCGATCGTGGCGGGTGACGAAGAGGGTGTTATTAATGAGAGAGTACGGCGTTGGGTGGATGGGAGGCTATGCTACTGGTTCCCTGTGAAGATCGCGGTGAAGGCGATGCGTGTTGCTGTACAGTGCGTGGACGAGGATCCTAGCTTGCGGCCCGATATGGGGGTTCGTGGAAGGCATTATTTCCGAATGCATTCGGAAATCCAACGCCTACCGCGAGTTCAAGGAAAGTTAGTGTTGTTTGGTTTATGGGATTGATGTATTGTGGGCAGTGGCGGACCCATAAATTTTTCATAGGGGTGTCCTCTTTTAAAAAATAAATTAAATAAAAATAATTAATAAAAATAAAATCGTAAATATGAAAATACCTTACTCGTACAGGTTAAAAAAGTCCATGATGTGTTTTCATATTCGAAAATAATTGTAGAATACACTTGGTGTTTATAGTGTTAAAAAAAATTCTCTATATACCCTACTAGACAATCATTCAGGAACTTATCGCATATTCGATTTGTAAACTTATTCTTGATGTAACCCAAAGCTGAAAAACTCTTTCAACACTTGCCGTACAATCATAAAATCAATACAAATTAAGAGTAGATTGAAATTAGTTTAATTGTTAGGTTTTTAAAATAATTAGAGATAGGGAATGACTTTTTACTATTACACATTGTTCAAAATTGAACAACAAATGAGTTGTAGCTCAACGGAAATTAAGTTTATTAATAATAATAGTGTTCTAGATTTGAATTACCCAACCTACTATTTATATTTTTATACACAAATGACAGTAGGATAATCATTTTTTTTCAAATTTCAGGGGTGTCTATCACTATCAATTATATTTTTTTTTTATCTGTACGTAAATTACCACCGGTGATTAGATAATCATTTTCCCAAAATCCAGGGGTGTCCGGGGACACCCCTGAAACCCCCTGGGTCCGCCCCTGATTGTGGGAATGTATGCATGTATTGATAATTTGATATCGCATATGATTTATTATAACATACAACCTTTGATAGGTATGATTGAGGCCAATGGGTTGACTTTTTGGAAAAATTGTAACTTTTTATAAGACTAGCAAAATCCCGCTCGCTATTGCTTCGCGTATCAGAAAAATTAATATTTTAAAAAGTAATAATTAATATTTAAAATGGATCAAGTTAGATCTATTTCATATTAAATAATATTATTTTTAATTTATTTTTTTTATAATGATATAAATAAAAGAAAATTATGTTTTTTAGAAAAAGAACAATATATGGTAAGGATAATTTTGTATTTTCAAATCAGAGCTTCTGCTTTTAAGTTCGGAAAACTTCAGTTTTTTAAAAAACCAAAACTTTAGAGGTGTTTGCTTGTATTCAACTTTTGAAACATAAAACTTCACAATTCGGGCCAAACAGGTCGAACTCTTTTGGCTTTTTTTTATGGTTTGAGGTAATCTTGGTTATCCTTTATGAAATTTTTGGACCGATTTCATGGTTGAGGAGGTTTAACTCGCATTGATTGGGTCAAATTATGCTCGATGCCCATGGATTTGGGTTCAATTGTCTTTCTCACACAAAAGGAAAAAGACAAAATGAAAACATTAAAAGCTAAAACTTGCTACCGACTCAAAACTCGTCAACACCAGGTTCAACTCTTTTTGACCTGGTTGAACTGAGTTTTGAGAAAAGTCACACCTAACACACCCCGCCAATTACAAAAACAGATAAAACGCGCTCCCGCCGAAACCTGCAAAATCGGGTTCAAGTCGCTTTAGTCGGGTCGAATTATGTTGTATACCCATGCGTTTCGGGTCAAATCAGGTCCTTAAGGCCTAATACTTAAGGAAGATCTTAAACCATCTCCACCCAATAGGAGAAGGGGAGAGAAAAACATTAGTAATAATTAGCTAACTACCTAAAAGGGTAAGACTGGAGTATAATAAAATTTTAATGTTATTAATAATTAAAAAGGAAAACGGTAAAAACCAGTTTGCGATACATCACTATTGAAAATTCATTTATGGAAAATTGGCCTCCTCCGAAAACTAAAACCGTTTCCCTCGAAGCCACGGCTGCAAACCCGTCACCGGTAGCAGTCGCGTTCCGTGTGCAATTCTGGCGTCAGAGTTAGTGCGTCATTGCTGGGTCACGTCGTCGTCAAGTCTTGGCTACGTTAGTTTAGGTTTCCTCGTCTGCAATCTCGCCGTCGTCAAGTCGCGATCACGTTTCGTGTGAAAACCCACCGTCACGGCTGCCTGGTCACCGTTGTTTCCCCCGTCGCGACCATCTTCTCGTCAGATTCCCGTCGACTTCGGCCACCAGCTTCCCGTTGTAGTCGGCCTCCAGCTTCCCATGCTCGACGTGATGGACTCACCGAAAACCCTTTATGTGGTAAATATATGTGTTTTAAAATGTTAATAACTCGTTTGTTAATAATTGTTTTGGGTGATGATGATAATAACGTTACTTATAATGTTAATAATGTAAGTTAGAATGACAACAAGATTTTAATAACTTAGGTTAAAAAGATAAGGGTTAATACCCTAGTTTGGCCCGAAGTTTAGTCTAAGTGACAGTTTTGGTCCCATTTTTCAAATAAGACGTTTATGGCCCACTTTTGAAATTATTGTACAAATTTGGCCCGGAATTTGGGTTGACCGTTAAAACTGACGGTCAAACATTTTCACTGTTAATGACTCAACAAAATCTGCTGATATGGCAACGACATGGTTGCCACATCATTTTCACAAAAATGAAAAAATGAAAAATAAATAAAATTAAAAATTTGAGGAGTCAAGGTCGTCTTCTCCACTCTCCCTGTTCGGGTCCACAAGACCTAGATCTTCTTCACCTGGCACCGGCTGCTACTCTACTTCCACGAGAAAATCCTTGGGAGCTTGATCGGTGGGCGACCCACCCCAGCCGACGAACTCCTCCCCGTTCGAATCCCCTTCGACGCCACGAAATCCACCAGCCTGCTCGCCTCTGCTTCTGACGAGAAGAACCCTTCCCTTATTTCTCCCAAACAATCAGTCGCTGTCATGCTCGCCTCTGCTTTCGACGAAAAGTCGTCGCCGTTCTCTGCTTCTAATCTTTCCCCAGCCAGCCGGCGATTCCAAGAGAAGAAGAACGTAACTCGCCGCTCTCTGCTTCAGATCTTTGGCAGCCGGCGAGTTTGCTGCAAGAAAAATGGGACCCTCCGCCCTCTAGTCTCTTGTCGCTAGAGCTGCTTCCCCAGTTTTCCTTCACAAACCAATCCGCCATTTTCCCCACCAGCGGTTGAAAATCCACAGCTACGATAAGCTCTATCTCGTCTCCCGTTCCCAGAGCCGTTTCCCGTAAGATTGAAATTAATGCAATCGATATTGGACAAAGATTTAATTGAAATTAGAAAAGAGGGAAAAAAGGAACAATGAATTGAAATTGCTTACATGCAGGGAACGGTGGCGTCGAAGGTGAATGCCACGAGGAAACTACTGGGTTCCTCCTCCTCGTCCCCCCGATTTCTTCTCTCCACGAGTTGCCGCCGTCCTTGGCTAAGAAGCAGCAGATCGATAGAATTAAGATGTAAGTCACCTACTCAGGATTCAAGGGAGGGGGGGGGGGGTTATTGGATTTGGAATGGCGAAGAGAAAACTAGCCTGGGTATTTTTTGTTTTCCTCGGAGGTGTTTTTTTTTAATTCCTTGGAGGTGTTTTTACGGAGGGCGGAGATGGAGAGTGATTCAAGGGATTATTTTTCTTTTTTTTTTTTCATTTTCATTTTTTTAATTTTTGTGAAAATGACATGGCAGCCATGTCGTTGTCACATCAGCAGTTTTGTTGAGTCATTAACGATGAGAATGTTTGACCGTCAGTTTTAACGGTCAACCCAAACGTCGGGCCAAATTTGTTTAATAATTTCAAAAGTAGACCACAAATGTCTTATTTGAAAAATGAAGCCAGAACTGTCACTTGCGCTAAACTTCGTGCCAAACTAGGGTATTAACCCAAAAGATAATAATGTATCTTAAAATGTTAGAAACGTAGAATAAATGGAAAGAATTTGTAATGTTTATAATGTAGTTTAATACATTTTGAAAGTGTAACAATAATTTGTTAAAGTGTTAATAACGTGGGTTCATATGATAATAAAGTAGGTTAAAATGTTAATACGTTGGTTAAAATGATAATAACGTAGCTTAACATGTTAATAACGTAGGTTAAAATAAAGAAGCTTTTTTTAATTAAGTGGGTTAAAATGTTAATAACATGGGCCCGAATGATAAAAACGTAGTTTAAATTAATAATAACGCAAGTTATAATGAAACCAACTTCATATAACTAATGTTAAAATGCTAATAATATAGCTTTATATTATTGAAAGTATAACTAATAATTTGTTAAAATGTTAATAACGTAAGTTAAAATGTTAATAATGTAGGTTAAAATGATAATAAAGAAAGTTAAAAAGTTAATAATGTAGCTTAATATTATTGAAAGTGGGACAATATTTTGTTAAAATGCGGAAAGTTTAGTACATATTCAACGTTGTATATCTGAATGAAGTACCTTTTGATGATAACTTGAAAGAACAAGATAGTGGCAAGAACGTGAACGGAAGCGAAGATGAAATTACACTGGATAATGCAACGTTGGAAGGTTAGTAGAGTTTTTTTTATATAGATTGTTAAAAACTCTATCTGGTTATGACGTGATGTGTGGTGTTTGTCCATGGTTGAGATTTAGGAGTTGGGGATGATGGCGATGCGAATGATGGTTGCTCTGTATCAGTCATGGACGTTGTAATTGATCGACATTCTATTAATCCAACAGGTAGGGGTTTGTTTAAAAATCAATTGATATTGTTAACATGTATGTGAATAAATATTGATAATGTGGGTACATCTAGTTGATAATTTTTCTACTATTAACAAAAAGTTGCATCATTATTAACCAATCAGTGTGATTTCTACAGCGACGAATATGGTGAATCAACGTGGATAGAGCGTCGGTTTGTGTTAGAGACCATGCTGAGTTGTTCTATGAAGAGTATGCACATCATAAAGACTTTGGCATGAGGAAGGAAGGCACACCTAAGAGGAACACACAAAATAAATTTTGCGAGGCGTATCACTACATCTATTGCTCATGCATCAAAGAAGGATACATGAAGAGTAGCGGGAGGAATCCGAAGAATGGAGGGCTGATTGATAAAACTATTAGGAAACAGAGTAGGGCGGAGAACATATGGGGTGTCAAGCGAGGATAAACTTCAAGTTGGGCAAACAAGCCATCTGTCGTCTCATCTCGCCTCCTTTCTGCGCAGCCACTGTCCATACAACCACTTCCTTTCATTAGCGTCGCCAGCTGTTACCATTGCTCTACTTCGCCGGCGTCGCGACGATAAAGCGATCCTCGTGGCCGGCCGACCGACTCCATGGAATTGACAACGACCACAGATTGATTACTAATGGACACAAAAACGTTGAGAACGTTCAAAGATTGATTAATAATATGTTAATTATACTATAACAAAACAGTGTAAACAGATTAACAATGGCGACAAAAATTATTAATAATGGAGCACTATTGATTACTAATGGTGGCGACAAAAATTAGTAATTATTATTATACAAAAATGTAACAGTGTAAAGAAATTGAAATGTTGAAAATGACCACAGATTGCTTAATAATGGAAAACTGGGATAAGAAATGTTGACAATGGCGACAAAAATTCTTACTAATAGAGACAGAAACATTGATAACAAGTTTTTCCTTACGACCAAAGATTGATTAATAATAGATACGAAAACGTTGACAATGGCATCAAAAATTATTAATGATGGAAAAATCGACACCTTGCATAAACGTTGATGACATTTGTCAAGTTACATTAATATTGATGACGATAAGTTAAATCGATAGCAATTGGTCCAAAACCATTGATAGTTCAATGTATCAGTCATGTACCTCCTACACCAAATCCACCAGCAACCCATTAACTATTGAAAGTTACAAACTAGCAACTAAAATGTTAATAATAATGGTTTAATATTCATATAAATTTAGCTACATTTCCATAAATACGTACCTGCTAATTTAATAACCAAGTTGTGAGCTCAATCGATTCCCATATGCGGTATTTTTAACTTTATTCACTATTTTCAAGTTTACTTTGGTTAAAAAGTCTACCTATGTAGTGATCTAGTAGTGTTGAAAAGTTATTAAAAAAAGGTTTGTGATTATTAATAAAGGTGTCATATTTATTGTTAATAATAGTGACAAAGGTGTTTGTAAAGGAATAATGTCGTGGGCCGATATGTGGACATTATTTATTGATAATGGCTTGTTAGTTATTGATATTGTAGAGGCAACGCCGGACGGGATCGATGGGAGCGACCGCGGAGGGAAGCAACGCCGGGCAGGACCGACGTAGGTAAGCTACGTTCGGCAGGAAGACGACGACAACCGTTGAAGAGTAGGACGATGTCGGAAGCTGGGGAGCGCTGCCGGAGATGGAAGTGATGTCAATGCTAACGAGAGAAGTAGGTCGTTGGTGGACTGGTCCGACGACGGCAACGGGAGCTGGCAGCCGATGGCGGAGAACGCTTGCGGGAGCAGAATCGCTGGCCGGAGAGCTCAGCGGGAAGGAAGCTGGACCGGCGGCGGCAACGGAAGCTAGGGTTCGGCGTTGATGGACAGGAACGACGACGACAACGGGATCTGGCTGCCGTCAGCGGAGAACGCTTACGGGGGCTGAATCGCCGATCAGAGAACTCAGCGGGAGGGACGACCGATGTATGTGTTTTGATTTGATAGAGAAACGGTTCAGATGCTTACAGGAGGAAAAAGAAAAAGACTATACGTGGGTAGTTACGTTTTTTTTTATTTAATTCCTTAATAACCCTAACAACTATTTAACTAATAACTCCTCACTAACTACCTAAAATTGAATCAGCCAATCACAACGCTTTAAGATACTACTTAAAAAAAGGTGTTTAAGAACATGAACTTGGCCCATGCGTTTGGACTCAATTGTCATTCTCAACCAAAAGGAAAAAGATAAAAAATAGTAAAGCAGATAAAACTCGCTCATTACCCCAAACTCTCAACACTATGCTTAACTCGCTTTGATTGGGTCGACCCAATTGTAATAAATGCACAATTTACCCAACCCGTCAATTACAAAAGCGGATAAAACTCGTTCTCGATACAAAACACGTAAAAAATGGGTCAGAGTTCAATTGTCATTCTCAACGAAAAGAAAATTGAGAAATGGAAAAATATTAAAGCGCACAAAACTCGATTTCAATCTAAAACTGGTTATAAACGTGTTCAACTCGCTTTAAACATTTTTTAACAAAGTAACACTTGGTCCAACCTGCCAACTATAAAAGCGGGTAAAGCTCGCTCACAATACAACACTCGTCAATAAGTTAGATTCGGGTTCAATTGTCTTCCCAACCAAAAAAAAAAAAAGAAATTTATAAATGCTAAAGTAGGTTTCAAGTCGCTTTGACCTGATAGAATTAGGTTGGATACCATTGAATTTCAAGTTCAATTGTGATCATGCGCAACAAAAAGGGAAAAAGTGAAAGAAAAAAACACTACAGCGGACAAAACTCGGTCCTGATACTAAACTTGCCAACAAATAGTAGATATGGTATGGATTTTCGATAGCGACATTGGGAAACAGGGAGGGGGGGGGGGGACAACTTAGGATTCCATTGACAGTGTTTTGAGAAAGTTGTGAATTGGTGAGCGATGTTGAGGATTGGACAGACTCTAGTATGGATCTTTGCTCGCGGCGATAGCAAACGGTGGAAGACGAAAACTAAGGATCCAACCGACAGTGTTCGAGTTAGGTTGCTAAATGGTGCGAAAAGTGGATAGTTGCTACAATCGGGAGGTGAAAACCTAGTAGGCAATAATTGTTATGTGAAATACAATGAACAATAGATGTAAACCTAGTATGTAAACCCGAAAACCTGCAAAATCGGGTTCAAGTCGCTTTAGTCGGGTCGAATTAGGTTGTATACCCATGCGTTTGGACTCAATTGTCATTCTCAACCAAAAGAAAAAGGATAAAAAATAGTAAAGGGGATAAAACTCGCTCATGGCTCCAAACTCTCAAGACTATGTTTAACTCGCTTTGATTGGGTCGGCCCAGTTTTAATAAATGCACAATTTACCCAACCTGTCAATTACAAAAGCGGATAAAACTCGCTCTCGATACAAAACGCGTAAAAATGGGTCAGAGTTCAATTGTCATTCTCAACGAAAAAGAAATTGAGAAATGAAAAAAAATATTAAAGCATACAAAACTTGATTTTGATCTAAAACTGGTTAACAACGTGTTCAACTCGCTTTAAACATTTTTTTAACAAAGTAACACTTGGTCCAACGTACCAACTATAAAAGCGGATAAACCTCGCTCACAATACAACACTCGTCAATACTTAGATTCGGGTTCAATTGTCTTCCCAACCAAAAGAAAAAAAAAGAAATTTATAAATGCTAAAGTAGGTTTCAAGTCGCTTTGACCGGATCGAATTAGGTTGGATACCATTGAATTTTGCGTTCAATTGTGATCATGCTTAACAAAAAGGAAAAAGTGAAAGAAAAAACACTAAAGCGAACATAACTCGGTCCCGATACAAAAGTGGCCAACATTGAGTAGATATGGTATGGATTTTTAGTAGCGGCATTGGGAAACGGTGGGGGGGGGGGACAACTTAGGATTCCGTTGATAGTGTTTTGAGAAAGTTGTGAATTGGTGAGCGATGTTGAGGATTGGACAAAGCAAATCTAGTATGGATCTTCGGTCGCGATCATGGCAAACTGTGGAAGACGACAACTAAGGATTCAACAGACAGTGTTCGAGTTAGGTTGCGAAATGGTGCAAAAAGTGGATAGTTGCTGCAATCGGGAGGTGAAAACCTAGTAGGCAATAATTGTTATGTGAAATACAATGGATAATAGATGTAAACCTAGCGAACACCCATGTGTTTGCGTTCAATTGTGATCATGCTCAACAAAAAGGAAAAAGAAAAAAAAACAATAAATAGGATGAAACTCGGTCCCAATACAAAACTCGTGGTAGCGGCCTTGGGAAACAGTGATGGGGAACAACTTAAGATTCTGCCAACAAGTCATAAACGAAAACCTAGCCAATTCGAGTTGGGCCGCAAAATGATCGGCAAAAGCGATGATTGTGTTAAAGTTAGGATACCCATGTATTTGGATTCAATTGTGATCATGCTCAACAAAAAGGAAAAAGAGAAAGAAAAAAACACTAAAGAGGATGAAGCTCGCGCCCGTTACAAAAATTGTGGTATCGACCTTGATTTGTGTGGTGGGGAACAACTTAGAATTCAGCCGACATTATTTCGTGATAAGCTGTAAAATGGTGGGAAAATACGATGATTTGTGCAAAAAGTCATAGACTCAGGGATCACGGTGTCGCAGTGGCAGCGGCTGCTAGCCTCGATTGCAGCACCCCTTTCGTTCTTTCCAGAAGCAGCAGGAGGCACTAGGTCGAGATCAGCAGACAGGTCGCGAGTGTCCTTCTCAGCGCCCTGGACGCTAATTGGAGGGGCAAATACTTGTTCCCCATCAATGATCGCATCTTTCAGCTCCTCAGCAGCAGCAGAAAGTAGGCCTGCAAAGTTCAGTTTGCTTGCTTTGTTTTCCATATTCAGGCTCTCTCTCATGGTTGATTTAGTCTCTTGTCAATGCAGGCTCAGAGTTATTTGTTTCTATGCCGTCTATAAGTGTCCTTGGCGAAAGGCAACTTCCTTAACAGGACACTGGACACACTTGAACTGAAAAGTCTCCCTTGCCTTAACACAACAAAGAGTAGACTATTATGGAAACCGTGTCTGTATCTTTCCAACTTAAATATGGTCGGCACTCCTCGCCAAAACAAAACGCAGGTTCCTAGCAGGCCACTGTTAAATTAAGTTAACCCAGCTCAGCTCTCTTCAATTCTCCACTATAAAGCAGCAATATTTCGCAGCTTGCTCTGTTTTACCCATCAGTCTTTGATCCTTTGAACCTAACCACAAGGCAGAGGTAGAGTTTGGCCCAACTTTGGGGGAAAGGGAATGGCCGAGATTCGAGTTGAGGTCTCTGAGTCTGAGGGTGATCAGCAGCAGGAGGATCCCAACGCATCAGTGTTCCAATCCCGTACTTTCCCGCGATACTGCCCCAGACCCCGCCCAACCCAAACACAATACATTCCGGCCACTCCCAGGGCGATAGCAGCAGCTTCCGGCGCCACTCCTTCCAACTCCGATCTCTCCTCCAGGTCCAGGGCTTCCTCCTCCGACACTTCCAGCTTCTTCTTCACCATCTCTTCCTCTTCTTCCTCCTCATCCTCCTCTCACACCCTATCCATCCCACAATCCTCCACCTCGTCCTACCTCTGCACCTTCCGTGGCAAGGACGCGATTGGCTTCCGCCGGGTGTTCCCTCCGACCATAAACCGGGAGAAGCTGAAACAACACTTGTCAGTCATCGGCAGCATTCGTCACGCCAACGTGGTCCAGCTCATCGGAGCTTCCATGTACGAGAAGGAGCCGTGCGTCAACCTCATGTACCCCTTCGTCAACGGCGCAACCCTCTCCGATTGTTTGACCAGCAGGAGTACGACCGATCTCTACAGCCTCTACCTCGGTAGGTGGCAATCGAGGATGGACATCGCGGTGGGAGTGGCTCGCGGCCTGAATTACATCCACCACATGACCGGATTCGAAGCCCTCCTCGTCCACAATCGTATCAAGACCTCCAATATCATCCTCCTCCCTTTGAGCGGCGGCGCCGCCGTCAAACCCTTGATCTGCAAATTCGGCCTCGCTCATGCTGCAGGGGAGGCTGCCGACGAAGACGAAGACAACGTTGGATGGGGCGGAGGAGAGGGGATTGAAGAAGTAGACGAGGAAGAGAACCCCTACATGTCGCCGGAGGTTCGGCGAGGGGGGTCGTTGGCGACGCGGAAATCGGATGTGTACGCATTCGGGGTGCTGCTGTTGGAGCTGATTTCGGGTGCGGAGCCGGTGACTTACCGTTATAATGATGTCGACAAGGTTTACGTGCGTAAGTCGATCATGGAGACGGCGAGGGCGGCGGAGGCCGGCGACGAGGAGATGGTGCGGGGTTGGGTGGACGGGAGGCTGAATGGGTTGTTCCCAGTGGAGGTCGCGAAGGAGGCGATGCGTTTGGGGCTGTATTGTCTGGGCGAGGATCCCAGATCGCGACCTGATATGGGCCTTGTTGAAGGCCTCATCTTCGACTGCTGGCGAAGATCGAACAAACCCTTCTTTTAAGTTTAAGTTTGGCACCCCATGGGCCTTATGTCTATACTTGTATTTGGGCTTCCTACCAAAGTTACTCTTGTGTCTTGTCAAGTCATGGAGTAACTAGATATAAAGTTTAGATAGTTAGTTCTCATGTTTACTAAAAAAAATCATTAGAATCTAACTCCGAATGAATCATATTCCTATACACATTCAAATTCATTTAATTAATAATGAATCCTAATTTCATTAGGATCGAATTGAGAATGAATTATATTCCTCTATACACATTCGATTTCATTTAATTAATAGTGATTCCAAAATCAAGAACAAACACTCATAAATCTAGGATTAATTAACCGTCCATATTCATAAGTTTGTTTTGATTTCTTATCCCATAAGGACTAAAGGAAGAAAGAATACTATCAGTTCATCCAATAATCTAGCCCCCTTAATACATAGTCAGATAAATCATTTTACCATACTATACGTAGTTGGATAAAATATTGAGCGAGATATATTTGTAATTTGTCCAATATCATAGTCTAGGAATGTGTTTCGCCATTACACGGGGTGTAAAATAAAGAACACATCATGATCATTGCCAATTCTTTCTTAATTACTTTGATGACCCAACAATCAACATAAGTAAGTACACAACCGTAATCAACCCTATATATATATATATATATATATATATATATATATATATATATATATGGCTATGTCTTCGGTGCACTCACTTTTTTGGGTGCATTCAATGCACCCGCCTCATAATCGTCATTCTGAGCATGCGATTCATGTGAAAACGATGTCAATCATCACCTGTGGTATGATGAACAAGAACCACATGAATTTGTACAAAAATCATTCAAGATTCACTTTAATTTGAATGATTCAGGGTTTAGGAATTTAGGGTTAGGGTTAGGGTTTACAATTTGGGATTTTGGGTTGCGATTCAAAATTGAAGGTTAATAGGTTAGGGTAATGGGTTGATTAGTTGGGATTCTATGTTATATCATCATATTATACTAATACAACCCATTAAATTTTAAAATTTAATGTATTATGACCACTTTTAGAGGTGGGTGCACTGAATGCACCCAAAAAAGTGAGTGCACTGAAGTAGCCACCATATATATATATATATATATATATCGCTATCATATGAACACGGCATCAGGATCATAATTCATAAATAAGTCAAGTGATCGATTGGCATGGAGAAGAAGAAAAACAGGAACTCGACGCGTCGAGTGAAAGAAGTGGCTGCCTGCAATTGATACATCCAAACTCTGTCGAAAGGTGATAGATTTCCCCGTGTAACCCAAATGGCGTGGACTTTGACTTGGCGAGTCAGCCGCGGGAAATTTCAATCGAACTAGACCCAGCTACTTGTTCCCTCAAAACTCTGAAAAACAAACCACTCAACTCCATTTTGTTATCAATTTCAGAGCTGGAATCTTATCTTCCTCTTGTTCCATGGCTTCCCTATTCAAGCACGACGTTTTCCTCAGTTTTAGAGGCTCCGATACCCGGGAAAGCTTCACCAGCCATCTCTTTGCTGCTCTAGTTCATAAACAGATCAGGACCTTCATCGACGACCAGCTCAGTCGAGGGGAAGAAATCTCGCCTGCCCTTTTGCGAGTGATTGAAACCTCGATGATCTCAATCGTTGTTTTCTCTCGGGACTACGCGTCTTCCCCTTGGTGCTTGGACGAACTGGTGAAGATTCTCGACTGCAAGAAGGTAATGGGCGCAATTGTTTTGCCTGTTTTCTACTGTGTCGATCCTTCGGATGTAGCTTCACAAACGGGAAGCTTTGGGGATGGATTTCGGTTGGTAGAGGAGGGGTGTACGGACAAGGTTAAGGTTCAGAGGTGGCGAGCTGCTTTGGTCGAAGCTGCTGATTTGTCTGGTTGGAGTTCCCTTGTCATTAGGTGAATCTCGATTTTGCATGAATCAAATGTCGCTTCTCTTTTCTTTTCTTCATTCACCATCGTAGTAATCCATTTGTTTCCCCAACTGTTTTGGCAGGCCAGAATGTAGACTCATTCAGGAGATAGTCAAGCATGTAATGAGGAAGCTGGATTGCATTTCTTCATGGGAATCAAGGGGTCTTGTGGGAGTCCATTCACGCATTGAGAGAATTGAATCATTGCTCTGCACTGGTTCGTCACCACTCATTGTTCAATTTCTTGGGATTTGGGGCATGGGAGGGATTGGGAAAACGACCCTCGCAGAATTGTTGTTTGACAAAATCAAATCTGAATTCGATGCTTCCTGCTTTCTCACCAATGTGAAAGAAGAGTGTGAAAACCATGGACTCGCCAGGTTGAATGTGGAGCTCCTCTCCAGGTTACTGGAAGAAGAGCAACAAGTGAATGTAGGAAGTCGTTTCGTTAGGAGCAGGCTTAGCCGAATGAAGGTGCTCATTGTTCTTGACGATGTGAGTGATTCAAGGCAGGTGGAGAGTTTAGCTGGAGACCATGATTGGTTTGGACCAGGGAGTAGAATCATCATAACCAGTAGAGACAAGGAAGTACTTGACACTGCAGTAGATGAGATGTACAATGTTGAAGGGTTGAATGACCATGAAGCTCTTCAACTCTTCAGTTCAAAAGCATTTAGAAGAAGAAAGTTTGATAGGACTGATCATGTTGAGACATTGAGAAGAGCAGCTAACTATGCACGTGGCAACCCATTGGCACTGAAAGTTCTGGGATCGTCCTTGTTTCGCAAGACAAAGGCCGAATGGATATCTTTCTTGCAGAAAATAGAGAGAATTCCGAGACCCGAAATTCAGAGTGTTTTGAGGACGAGTTATGATGGTTTGGATGATGAAGAGAAGGATATATTCCTCGACATTGCTTGCTTCTTTGTTGGGGAACACAAGGCTTTTGTTACACGTGTCCTGTTTGGCTGCGGCTTCTCTGCGGATATTGGTATACGAGTTCTTATTGATAAGTCTCTCATCACTGTCTTGGACAACAAGTTAAGGATGCATGGTCTGTTGCAGCAAATGGGTAGGGAAATCGTTCGACAGGAATCTCTTAAGGAGCCTGGTAAACGCACTAGGCTCTGGAGTCCGGAAGATGTCTACCATGTGCTCACCGAAAATACAGTAAGAGCAACAATTTCTTTCAAAAAAACCAGAAGTTCTCGGCATAACTTTGTTGAATTTAGCTCTGCCATTTCTGTCGTTTGTCAGGGAACTGAAGCGATTGAAGGGATGTTCTTGGACATGGCCAAGATAAAGAGGGTGAAGTTGAGTCGTAATGCATTTGCCAGAATGCATAACTTGAGACTGCTGAAGTTTTACAATTCTGCCAACAGGGGCTTTAGCAAAGTTTTTATACCAGAAGGGCTGGAGTCTATTTCTGACAAATTGAGCTATCTATATTGGGATGGATGCCCTCTGAAGTCTTTGCCATCCAGTGGTAGAACAGCTAACCTCGTTGAACTTAGCTTGCCATCGAGTCATGTTGAGGCGCTTTGGGAGAGAAACCAGGTATTTATCGCACTCAGAAGCTTGCATTATGTTCTTTCCTTGACTGCCTGCTCAAGTTTGTGGTTCCATTTCTTTTCACCAGTGTCTGGAGAAATTGCATACAATTGACCTCAGCAATTCCCGGTATCTAACCAGCTTCCCGAACCTCTCATCAGCACCAATTCTGCAGAGTTTGAACCTCGAAGGCTGTTCAAGGCTGGTTAGAGTTCCATCATCCATCAAGTTCCTAAGAGAGCTTGTTGTCCTGACAATGGAAAATTGCAAAACCTTAAGATGCATGCCGAGTTGTGCTCATTTGCAGACACTCAAGAAGCTAAACCTTTCTGGATGCTCCAAATTAAGATACCTGCAAGACATTCCAAGGAGCTTAGAACATCTGAGCTTAAACTCGACTGCCATACGGAAGCTTCCTGAATCGATCGAGACTCTTTCGAGACTCACCTTTTGGGGGATGAACCGTTGTAAGAGGCTCAAGTATCTTCCAAGTAACATTGGGAAGATGAAATCTTTGAAAACACTTTCTGTCTCAGGTTGCTCAAAGCTTGAGGCTTTACCTTCCAGCATTAAGTTGCTAACTCAGCTGCAGAAGCTCGTGCTGAGCAATTGCAGACGGATTAGATCTTTGCCTGAGCTTCCTTTGGGCGTCAGTATGTTGAATGCCAATGATTGTGTTTCGCTCGAAAGGCTGCCTTCTTCATATGCCATTCCAATGGGGAAAGTTTTTGTGAACAGTTGTCATCTTCAAATGTTCTCATTCGCCAATTGTTCAAAGTTATATGAGAACAACAATAGTAATATTGAGGCTGACTCGTTTGTTAGGATTCATCATGCAGCGGTAGCAGCTGTGATAAACTATCAGCAGGTATCCTCTCTGCCTCAATCTGTTCTTTCCTTTCTGGCTAATAGAGTTTTAGTCCTGTACTATATTGTTCTAAAAAACAAGCACCCTTTATTATGTCTTTTATTCCTAATGGGTCGATTTTTTTGAAAATTGTCCTAATTTTGATGCAGGGGATTCATTCATTGCGTTCAAACAGTATCTGCTACCCCGCAAGAGAGATTCCAAGGTGGTTTAGATACCAAACAAATGGCTCTTCTATAACCATAAACCTCCCTCCAGACTGGCTCAACTCCGAGTTCTTGGGATTTGCACTAAGCGCAGTCATTACAACCAAGGACCGCAAGATCTTTGGCGCAACGGATGTCGGTTGCCAATGCAGTTTGATAACTGCAAATGGTCGAGATAGCCATGACATTCTCTGCTGCAGGTTGGGGTTCTCGACTATACATAGCAAGAGGGATTTCACTTGTGCTGATCATGTGGTGATACGATATGACTTCAGCATGTGCCATAGACTACTCCGGGGAAGAGACCATCATCAGAAGCAGAACAAGAATGACTCTCGTGTTTACCGGACCGCCAAATTCAAGTTCTATCCTGAGCAGACTGATTCCAGATACTTCTCGGCTTGGTTTCCTGTGCAGAAGTGTGGTGTTCATTTTCTCTATGCTGGAGGAGAGATTGAAAGGTGCTGCACTTCTCTGCCCTTGGGCCATTCTAGCTCGCCTTCTGAGTCAACCTCACTGCGACTTAATGAAGGAAGATAATAGAAATGACTGCGGAAGATGCTGCTATGTTCATATTGCTAAATCCAAAACATCCGCTTTGAACTGACTTGGTGCTCTATATATACAGCAGTACTGTAAAAAAGAAAAGATCCTTCTTTAACCATGTAAGAGTAAATTACTATGAACACATGATTGACAATCAGTCTAATACAGGCAACAATGTGATCGTGACAAACCATAAACACGAACAAAGCTCACAGAAAGAGATGTGATCTTTTCCCAGCCAGACACAAAACCCAGACCACCATTCTAAACTAAATGTTTGCAGAAGCAAAGCTTCTGTCCTCCGTATGCAGCATAGTTAGTCACCTCTTTTGCTTCTAAGGAGAGACAGATGCTCAATAAAGGGGTTTTGAGGAAAATCTTGTTAAGCAACAGTCACTCCAGCCATTCGAGGCAGCCTTTCATTGGAATTGTTCTCTGATGTCAACTCCATTACGGCTTTCCTCTTTGTGCCCGACCTTGTTAATGTGGCTGCTGCTGATGCAACGTAAGTTCGGAACTTTTCCATGTCTTTTGGCTTCAGAGGCTTCTGTAGAAATTCTTCTGCGCCACTCTCAAGACAACTGCAGAAAAAGAAGATAAGATTAAACCACATAAATGCAACAAAAGCATGTTCAAATGCTCTAGTATCTCTATAAAGAAACATATTTGGAGCCAGTTTTAGATCGACTACAGACAGTTCTAATATCTCCTTCTTTTTGCTCTCTGCCATTGCATAGCTTACAAAACTCCTCCAAGAATCCCAAAATATGTTCCATGAGGCTAAGTATCTTTGATTCGGTAAAAAGGAATGCATTCTATGTTCAGACACCAATAGTAAAACTTTTACGAGCTTATTACCCTCCAAAGTACTCCAGATAATTATAAATATTACCTGCTGATTCTCTGTGGATTATACTCGGATGACAATATCACAATAGGAGGAGTAGCCTGCCTTTCACTGTGCTTCTGTCAATCAAGATGAAGAATTGTATATTTCTCAAAGATAATTAGCAAACGATAGCAGACTTTCATAAATAACCGAAAGGGAAAAGGAATGGACATTGCTTCAGTTTCTTTTACCTTGACTGCCACTAGAAGATCATAGCCATTCATCTCAGGCATGCAATAGTCTGTGAGAATCAAATCAATCTTATCATCCTGACAAAGCAGAAAATCATCCTGATCAACCATCCAGATACAGTAACATATAACAAGCACAGATGCATTCATATGAATTAGATAGTCATACAGTTACAAAAGACCACGATGTTTCTTTCCACACTCCACAGTCAAAGAACCCAAGATCACATGGTATTACATTTATTTCATATGCACTGCACTCTCCCAGATGATCTATTTTCCAACCATGAAACAAAGTAGCTTAGGCAGAGGCAGCCTTGAGCCATAAAGCTTAAAACTTTTAAGGGGATCAAGAACATTCTCTCTTTTCCATCACATGTGGAAACAAAATATCAGCTCAAATTCAGTGTTGAACCATTTGTTAAGACCAGTTATTGTAAGGCAAGCACAATAAGAGAGTTTGGGGTCTGAAACTTGGGAGGCTCACATTGTTAAGAGTAGAGCTGCAATCATCCACCACTGAGTCAGCATTAGCAGTAGCTGTTGTTGTTTGATGAACATCAACAATATCCAACCCAAGAACCTCCATAGCCTTCTTCCCGCTTTCAACACTGGTCACTGCCAAAAAATTCCTTCTTTCATTCAGATTCAAAACCACAGCACAGCACCCACACAAAAATTACCCAAAAATCAAGAGAAACAACTACTAAACAGGGAACACAGACAGCTCATTAATGATGGAAACATGGTCATTAACAAAATTGAAATTAGCAGAATGGAGAAACCTTTGAAGGATGCTTTTTGAAGGAGCTTGCCAACAATTCTGCGGTCAAGAGAGCAGTCATCAACTACAAGGACGTGAATGGGCCGCTTCTGTAACTCATCATCCATAGCCACTGCCTCCTCCTTCTTCACCATCTCATCCTCCGTCGCCGGCATCTCCACCGGACTCCGTTCCGCCTCCGCCTCCCCCATTACTTCCTCTTTTCCTGGGTCAACAAGGCAGAGAAGGAATTGGGAAAGCCCAAAGGAAATGTGGGGGCTGTTGCTAATTATCACACTGGCTGAAGATCATGATATGCGAGACTATGAGAGAGACAGAGAGAGAGGGGGATCCGAAAGAGGGGTCAGAGGTAGAGGAATGGAGGGAAATGGCGAAATGGGTCCAGCGGAGATGGGAATGGAAAGAGAAAAAGAGACCATCTTTATAAGTAATAAGGTAGAGATTGGGGGAATCTTTTTGTGATTTGTCCCTGGGTCTGGGTGGACGGACGGACGGACCGCCCCACCCTTGATCCTGACTTTGTTCCCTCCTCCGTCGTCCGCACACCCACCACCACCACCTTCATTTTCCATTTCTCCTTTTTGACGGCTAATTGATCAAAATAATCTCAGGGGTCGTTTGCTTCTAGGATTTTAGAAAATGAGGGATTATGATAAAACCTTGGATTTTGAATATGAGAGATTATGTTGGATTTTGATTATGTTGGATTTTGAAACTTCCATGTTTGTTTGTAGGATTTGGTAATGGCTTTTAGTAGGTTGGAATTATGGCTTGATGGGGGAAATTACTTTCTTATCCTTAATGAACCACTTTTTACTTTACTTGTATTTTGAATGTTTTTGTATATACATGAAGAATTAGCATATGTAAAAATGGCAGCAACATCCATACTATTTGGTCATATTGTATACACGCAAGAAGCCATTAAAGTAAATTGAAACTCTCAACCCAAACCAATAATGTCGAAAGGAAAATCAAGGGTTTGGATTGGATTATAAAAAAAGAGGATGTAAGCATGAAATAATTAATTGTTGAGCTTCATATAAAAGGAAGACAAAACGACGATAGGCAGAGATGGAAAAGGTTGCCGGAGCTTTTTGCTGTGTTGCAATCCCTTGGCAACGAAGAGACAAAGTTGGTGAGATGAGAGTGTAGACAAAAGTCCTCAGTAGAGATAATAATAACCGAGGGCAAAATTGGATTACACAAAATGAGTGGGGGTAACACGGTCATTAAACATCATGGATTATATCTATCTTCCAAAATCCTAGCTATAGAGGTAAGATTTTATAATCCATGGGGCCCACGGATTTTAGCTCCAAATAATCCAATATTAGTGGACCCCACAGATTGAAACAAAATCCATTATATGCTAACAAACATGGATTCATTATAAAGTCCAACATATGTTGGATTTTGGGCCAAAATCCAACACCAAAATATCAAAAGCAAACGACCTCTCAATTCTAATTGTTACAATGAATGTTGATCCAAAAAATAATAATTATTACAATAAATGGCAGGTAATTTGGGATTGATTTCGCTAAATCATCCGAATTCTGATTTTTAAATACTCACGTCTATACTCATTCCATACTAATGCAAATGAACATTTTGCAATCCCATTCTTGTATCCGCAGTTTTCAAATACCCCAACAATAAAGGATCTCGAATTTTTATATGGGGATGTCTCTTTCCCAAAGTTCTATTAAATTAAAAATATTATTAAATAAGAAAATATCTAACTAGTCCAAATTATAATAATGTCCATGATATATTTTCTATTATGAAAAACTTTTAAAACTTTGCTACGGTGACTTGCACAAAACGGTTGACTTGTCCATTGATTTGGTTGACCTATTTGGACAAACAAGTCGACCTCTTCACTGATATGGTTGGCCTATTTGGACAAAATGATCGATCTTATTTTTTGAATGGTCGACCAGATGTACTGTTTTCCATTTTGCTATGTTCAACAAAAACGATCAACCTCTTTCACTAAAAATGCGTCCACTATACATAAAAGTGGTCTACCACTTCCATCAAGTGGTCTCCTCTTTCCCCAAGAGGTCCACCTCTTTCAATAATTGGTCCACCTGATGAACCATTGCTAGTGATATCATCGTATATAATTATAGTCCAATAACAATAGATATGCTTGCTAGTTAAAATATTTATATTAGTACAAAGGCTGCAAGCATAAATGATAAGTTTCTCGAGTGATTGAACTCCCGTAGGTTTGAATAATGTTTCGCATATTTATTTCTTATATTTGACTTACTTTATAGAGACTTTCATCTTTCCTTCAAATTATAAGTTTTCTTGTTCTATCCTATAGTTGTCTTGTGATGGATGATGGATCGACTTCGTTGATTTGTTGCTATTGTTGTTAAGAAGATGCTAAAAAGTAGAGTATATTTGTTACACAATTGTGTCATCTTCAACGTCCATAAATCTCATATCATCGCTTTTGTGAATTTTTATTCCAGAAGAGTTTAAAGATGGTGTTTCTTTTTATCTTGGCCTATAATCTGCGTAGGGATTTGGTTGCCACAGGTGATAGAATGTTGCGTTACTACAAAACATTTTTATTTTGTTGGTCTCCTATTGCCCATTATTTTCCTAATGTAAGTATAAGGTAACTGTGTCATCTGGTCAACTGTTCGCCGACAACAACGATCGTACGCTGAAAGAGGTTTGTAAACCATTTTGCGGAATCGGTGGGCTATTTTGGCGGACTCGGTCTACCTCCTCCAACAAGCAAGTGTAAGTTGAAGGTAAGTGCGTCATAGGTCGACCCATTGTTAGAAGCGGTAGACTGGTTGACTCAAGTGGTAGACTGCTTAGTGGAAGTGGTAAACCATTTGTTTGGAAAGTGGTTGACCACTTGGTGGAAGCGGTCGACCACTTAAAGGTAATTGTGTCATCAGCTCGACCCATTTCAAGAAGCGATAGACCAGTTGAATCAAGTGGTAAACCACATGGTGGAAGAGGTCGACCATTTTCTTGGAAAGTGGTTGACCACTTAGTGGAAGAGGTTGACCACTTGAAGGTAAATGTGTCATCAGGCCGACCCATTTTCTGAAGTGGTAGACCGGATGACTCAAGTGGTAGAGCACTTGGTGGAGGAGGTCGACCATTTTCTTGAAAAGTGGTCGACCACTTAATGAAATAGGTCAACTGCTTTCTCCAAGTTATGGTGACTTGAAAGTCACCATAGGCATACCCAAACTTGTAAAATACACTCATTGTCTATGGTACTCAACAAATCTCTTTCAATATTTCTTACTAGATAATCATTCATGAACTAACCACCTAGTCGATTAAGTCATCACCTCTCGTCGGTCGAGGTCGGCCACTATCGTATTTTCGGAGCAGCAAGGAGGATTGGATGAGTGAATTCTCAAAGGAAGGAGGTTGAATGCTCAAAGTTTGTTGTTTTGTATGTTAGAATATAGTGAGGATAAGGGTATCCCTTAGGTGGATTGGTTTGATTTTTAGGTTTTTGAAAATTTGGGAATATGGGGTATTATTTTATAATTATGTTTATGTTAAAATTACAATAAGAAATAAATTTTAGTCTAATAGACAAAATATTCACTAATAGTTATAGGGCCACGATCGAGTTTGGATCACATAGACTACTATCCATTTTTTTCTTCCAATACTCAAACTACTTTCGAGGGTTCTCGTTAATACCCCCTCCCCCCCCCCCCCCCGGTGGGGGTCCCTCGACACCCCTAGACATCCTTTTGGTCTGCCCCTGTCCGCGGGCAATGTAGTCCAAAAAGCGATTCTATCTGGAAGCATTTTGGTAGCTTAATCGTAAAAAAAAAGCTATCAAGCTTTAAAGCGTAGATTTTGACTACTATTGTAAGTGAAAAACACTATCCTACATAGAAAGCGTTTTGGTGTCCTATATATAAGCGTAAAAACGTAAGCTTTTAAACTTTAAAGCACGATTTTGATTGCATTGTCCGTGGGTAATACCCACCCTATACATTCAACATATACAAAAAATTAACATCTATATCTTCAATTATATCACTAACAAACCTATTAATTCATGAAATCAATAAAGATACAATAATATTGAATACGTATTCAAAGCACTCAATTCTAAACCATCTACATGACTAAGTGTAATACCTTCTAAGTCATCTATCTCTGAATCCAACACATCTATTCGAATCATTCAACATTACTATACCTAATATAACAAAGTGAAAGAAGTGACAAAGTGAAAGTCAAATTGATGGAAAGAAATTTATGATTTGATTTGGTTGATCACTCAAAAATTACATTCCACCTCTTTTTTTACCCTTTCTGTCATTGGCAGGTTATAACTTGATTTATTTTTGTACATATATGAACAAATAATCTTGATGGGGTGATATTGATATGGGGTGGGGAGACTAAAACCATACCCACTTCGTCTCCATATATATATATATATATATATATATATATATATATTTTAGAGTTTTATCGATGCTCATCCCATAACTAATCAATGCCGGAATTCCCCGTATTGACTGTGTCGAAGGCAGTCAAGTACCCACAGTTATAGTGTTGATTGCCATCACTAATCACAAATATAACAGAACAATTATTTTTGTGTCTTTTCATGCATATTTCCATTCAAAATTCTTAGTTAACTTGCTTGGAGTAAGAGGTAGGTTTAAGCACTAGATGTTTGATATTTTTTATTAATTTTTATATTGAGTCAGCAAACTAATTGAGCATTTTGAATGAAAATATGGACTAAAAGAGATAAAAGTGTTGTTTTGTTATGTGATGATACTTATATGGCTTTTTTGTTATACTTTAAACGTTTTAAACCTTTTTGTTACCATTTTGTTACATGCTACAATTTTGAACCATTGCCACTTTTCACTTTGGATTTCATGTTGAGGTTTCATATACCAAAAGTATTATTGCTTTTCATTCAAACATATGAAAACTCATGCTAATCATTTTATTTGGTTAATTGGATTTACTTGATTGGAATTCCCGTCTAGTTTAATTTAGATGATTTGATGCGTTAAAGAACATGTTAACCACTCAAACCAATTAACCAATATATAAACATATATGATGTACTATGTTATTTTGATTGAATTTGAATGTCCAACTTTTAGGAACAATATGAGTGGGTCAAAATTGTTGTTGGTCTATTCAAAATTGTCATGGTGACTTTTAGGCAGCGTACAACAGAGTAAATCTAGGACATCACATATCTTTGGTAAGAAAACACTATCTAGGCCTCGGATGAACCAAAATTTTGGAAATGATATTATACCATAACCCTTGATGACTGAACCTTATGTCTTAATTATCTAAATCATAGATTCTAAACATAAAAATGATGCATAATTTGTTGTATGTATTTTGACTAATCATGACTGTCGATTATTGTGTCTAATTAAATGTATCTTAGTATATGAGATTTATATAATTAAGATATAGTTTTTAACCTTTAAGGATTACGATATATTAATATGTCCCAAAGTCTAGGCAATTTAAGATCTATATTTTCTTTACTAAAAATATATCATATCTTTAATTTTACTATTATCTCGATTTGGCAAGATGATAAGCCATCACCATCCCCAACATTATTTAGTAGTTAACTAAGTTGTGTGTGTTGTAAGTTTTTTTACACATAAATTAAATTAGATTAAATATATAGTACTTGATTCCAATTCCAAGCTAGGCTGATAAGGTTCATGCATGTGTGCGCTTTGACAACTCCAACCCTCCATTTCTATATTACCGTCTAATACTACTATGCATGGGATCAAGATCTCGCAAATCTTTTGCATCTTTGGCTTCCAACAACAAATGTTTTACTATTTAATTAATTAATATCACTATAATAATAATAATAATGTATAATTACTTTAAGCAAAAAATTGATGGGAACCCAAATAAAAGGTTGACTTGGCAATATATTACTATTATCATTCTTGTCCTTTGTGAAGATTTCATGAGATTTTATTCTCATTTGGGCCCGCAAATGGAATAATTTATAATTATCATTATCATTAATTGATCCACAAGCCCAACGAAGAACAGATCAAAGGACGCCATCGAAGAAGAAACGTAGCGGCAGAGCTAGAGTATATATGGTGCAGTTTGAGATTAAGAGCTCATGAATCATGTTTGACCACGGAAAAGCCCTATTGAATCAAAGGAGACATTTATTAAGGATCACACACTTGTGATTAATTATATCAACTGTGAAATGATACGTGTGGACCTTTAATCTTATATATATATATATATTCAATACATGTAATGATTATCATTCACTAAGTTGCAGTGAAATTATTCAGTGGATATCATTATGGATTATTGCTTGAACAAATGGTGGGTGGAAAACGTTTGGTTCGTTGGTGGTATTTTAGGCAACAACATAATTTTTATGCGGTGGATTTGACATGGGAGGTATAGTGGATGATTGAACTCATCAAACTGGTCCTAATTCATCTCTAGTAAGTTTTTACGAATAGGTGATTCTTAAATTATTCATTTAGTATGACGTTATTTGTTGTAAGTTGTTAGTTAACATTATCAATCCACCCCGTTTATTAAACCTACCTTCTACTATGACCTATATATATATATAAGCTTCTACCGATCATATAATTAATCAACGCCAAAATCAATTATTCAATCACTACTCACGGAACCCTACTCACCTAGGGTTTGCATTAATGAGTCGTGTGAGGGCTTCTTCTGTGTTTATTAAACCTACGGGTTCGTGAGCGAGTTGTGGCTCATGGTCATGGAGGAGATATGCTTGGATGCGTCGTCTTTTGTTTCTTTTGCTTGCAGTTTTAAATTTTAATTACTTCTAAATTGTACAACAGGGTTGTCCTTTTAGTACCTACTAATGCACTTTTATTGAAAATTCGACTAGTTATCGATTGCCGCGTCTGATTATTAAGTGTCTTGTAGTACTAGTATCTATGTTTTAGCCTATCTATGAAAATAAAACTAGTTGGGAAAATAAATTAGAGAGCAAAAATGGATCAATTGGGCCGTGAATATTGGGAATGGGGCAACGGACCGGAATGTGAGGTCTGCTTTTGGGGAATAAAGAAGCCGTCAACCGTTTATGTGGGCTCAACCTTTTGGGCCCACGACGTCCAGTGTAGTTAAAACTGAATATCAATTTGCGTTGGGCTTTCCAGACAGGCTAGTAATAAATTAAGTCCAGTACGTTTATGTGGACACTTACTCTCTCAATTGAATCAAAACTTTCATGATCAAATATTTGGTTAGGTAGATGAAGATTGTTTTAAGTAAATAATACCCCTCCATTTCGATCCATATAACATTATATTTTCAAAATTTTCATATTATATGTTTTCTTACCTACTCTACTCTACTCTACTCATATCGTATAAAAAAAATGAGCAAATCAATAAAATACTACTTCAACCTAAACCCAACAAAAGATTACTGTAACAAGTTTTTTCAATGTTCGTCCTGCGTTGCAGCTAGCTAGCTGTAGCTGGTGCCCACAACTGTCTACCTTACCTTATATACAACTCATCATCATCATCATCACTAACCCTAAATTATGCTATTGTCGCAATTAGACAAAACCAATTTTGCTTTCATTTGGACTATTTTTATAGTATAAACAAATTACACACATGCATGTATAGGGGATACAATATTATTTGACTTAATTTATTCGATGGAATTAATGCATCTAATTAACCATCAAAACAATAGCAAAAGTTCTACCAAAAAAGAAACAATAGCAAAAGAATAGGAACAAGAAACGAGAATAATAATTTGGCAAGTCAAACGAGTTCCTCGCTATATGGTTGATATCCTAAATCATCACGTCCATCAATATATAATATAATATAATATAGTAGCTAGCTTAGCTATCTATCTCCAGTTGACCTTTTCCATTAATGTCAACGCTAAATATACAAAAGAAGGGTTAAATACGTTGTGCCAATTGTCAAACATATACATTTTCTTTTGCCGGTGTGTGGTTTTGTTTGTTACATTTACATATGATCGCTTTGGATCTAGCAACTCTGAACATTAATATATGTTGATTGAAAGGAGACAATTCATGTCTCCTCTACGAAGGGCTATTCTTGTTCACCTGCTGGGAGTTTTAGATCTAATCAATTATGTGATCGACAAGCTCGTCCAAGTCAACCATATAACAATGAGCTTTTATTCATCAAAATTACAACAAGTTATGGAGATATTTAAAATATGAACCATTTATTGGTAGATTCATTGATGTATAAAAGATTTAGGTTTAATACACTTGTATATCCAAAACTTCCACGGTTGTGCCAATAATATCCAAATTTCTCGAAATACCACTTATATTCATGTTTTAAAGTTGTTCTTTGCCAAATCTATCCATTTCTCAATATATTTTTGGTTAAATACACTTGTATATCCAAAAACACCGTTAAAGAATGTGAAGGAATTGGATATAAGTGGTATTTCGAGAAATTTGGATATTATTGGCACAACCGTGGAAGTTTTGGATATACAAGTGTATTTAACCAAAGATTTAATAATTAATCGTGCCCCTCTGCTCGGATGGAATACGGCCAACACTGATGGCTCTCACAGTTCAAAGTCCACATGTGGTCTCTAATTAGTCCAACTGATGTACAATTACTAAATCTTTTACTAATTAGAGATCATTTGGATCGATGCTTGTGACCCTTGGTGATGAATCTTGGAACATGTACTATTACAAGGACAAAATAAAAAAGAGTAGTCTACGAATTGCAGCTAGCATGGAGTTAAGGCCACAGGAAAATCCAACTCCGGATTGACTCCTTAAACCCGCTCACTCTTATGACAAAGCAAACAGAAAGTAATAGCAGCAGATACCACAATTTGATACAAGAGTTTCACAAGCTCATGCAACAACAATGGGAATGCAATAAGCTCTAGGTAGGTCTCTATGAGATTAAGATGCATTATTGGTTATTGTATGATACTATAGTCATTGGCCTTATAGTATTCAATACCAGCTCGAGATGTCCTTTTAGAATCTCATATTCTAAAATAAAAGATTTAACAATCTAATAATCAGCTTAAAAATTGATGCAATCGGGAGGGGGAGGGGATGAAGGAGACATATATTTCAATATTAGAATTGAAGATTTCTTTCATTTACAATATCCATGTGTATTCGTTTGTGCATTTTTCTTAAAAATTTGGGGAGCTTTTTTTCAAAATGAAAAAAGCAATATAGAATTTATCCATCAAACTCCTGATTAATAAAATCAACATTCATCAACCATATGGCTTAATTACCAACATCAACTGGTTCACTACGTTGTCTCCCTTTGCCAGTATTGCACAAACCATAAACCCTTTCTTCTTCTTCTTCTTCAGAAAAACTCCACTCAGTATGTAAATTCATACGTTACGTATAGATATATTACCTATATAACATAAACCTAGATACATTTTATTCATCTTCTCCGCTAGCTTAACTCGACATACATGCATGCATACATATGATGTTGATCTCTAGCTAGCTAATTACCAAATTTAAAACACGTACATGCATGACTAATTAATCCGTCGATCCGTACGTGTTGGATTGGATCTATGTATGTATGTGGCGGAACTTCCAAGCAGAAACCGAATGCAGGCGAGTGCCTTTCCATCCAAGAACCAAGCTCTTGTCACCAATATCCCTCTCCACCGTACACAAATCCCGGCACCCAGCAGCATTAATATTGTGAATGACAAGCCTGGCCTGGTGGAAGCAAGACGAGCTCATCTCAACTTCCACCATTCCAAACCTCTTGAAGAAGAGCCTCCAGGCTCGAAGTGGCACGTTCCTGACGACCCTCTCTTCCCCCTCGCACGCCACAATGTTCCTTATGCTCTCCCCACAGTACACCGACTCCACAGCCATCCTGCAGTAGTCGTCGTTGAAGAAGTAGGCCTCGGTCGCGTCCAAGTAGGCGCTGAAGAAGTAGAGCGACTCCATGAAGCGGGACCCAAACGCCGGGGAGTTGTGGTTGGCCTCCACCTCGGTCACCACCACCACATCAGGATCTATGCTCTTGATCGTTCTCATGAGTTTGTCGAATTCGGTTGGTGACCTAAGCAGCTTCCTCGGCACGTAATCCAAGTACACCGCCACGGCTTCCTCTTCGTCGTCATCGTAGTCAGCATGCAGGCCTAACATGTGGACCTTGAGATGGGAGAGCTCTGATACCATGACGATGTGGAAGGAGAAGGGCATGTTCAAGGTCGCGGCGAAACCCGCTAGCCTGTTCCCCGTTTCCTCCATCATCTGCCTAGAAATAGAATCATCCATCTGAGACTGAGATCCGACGGCAGTAAGCTTGAGACGTTGAGGTGGAGAGGAAGAAGCAGCTAGGGCCGACATGAGGATGGTCCATTGAGCACCGTTTCTGAGGGAGAGGTCGATGATGTGAACCGGCCTTTTGGCCCCCCCGGTGACCTCGTCCACGATGGCTTGTACCCCGGCGAATTGTGATGCTACGCCCATCGGAAGACAGCTCGCTAGCTGCTGGATGTGGGCGTGGCTACTACTAGATGAAGATGAAGATGAAGATGGTGGCCGTGCGGTTTGCGAATTGATCATCCTTTCTTGCAGGGCTTCCGAGAAATAGAAAACCAACCTCTGGATGGCGTTTCCTGCTGCGGAAGAGGACCTTTTGCACTCCTTGAGAAGCGCGGCGGCTTGGTCCAGGTCGTTGCGGGCTACTCTATCGGAGGCAGCTACAAGGGTCTCCACCAGATCCACCATTCTCATGCCTTGTTCAGACAGCTGCTGGGAAACGGCCGCCTCGTCATCATGACAAGATGAAGTAGTAGATCTGCATCTGCTGAGGAACCTTGCTCCGGCGATTCGGATCACTTCCTCCGAACACAAGTACGACTGGTCGTCGCAGTCCATCCGCTGGAGCTTGGGAGTAGTGATGACAAGGGAAGATGATGAATTAGGTGGATGGTGCTTCTGCTTCTTCTCATCACTCTCACACAGCAATAAGTAGTTTGAGTAACTTGTCAAAGGATCAACGCAGTGGTGGTGGTGATGACGATGGCCTGCTGCAGCCTGGTTTGACACTGTTGCTTGAGTACCCATAGGTGTCTCAGATTGCTTAGATGATATAACAAAAAATTAAGGAGCTAGCTAGCTAGCTAGTACTGTTACATTAATACACAATTATATATGCGGCCGGAGATGGATTTTGGCAACTGCGCAGAAAATTAATTCGTATGGATGAAAACAACATCCCATCCCCAACAAAATAATAAACCACACCCACCCTCTCTCTCCCTTTATATATTGATCGATCAAGACATGCAATATGTCGACGGAGGAAAAAAAGAAAGAATGAATGATTAACAAGCTAAGCACTAGTCTTGCTTGACTCTTCCAAGGGGTTAAAGGATTTTGACAAAAATAACCCGACAAATAAATGCATCAGCAGATCGACAGCTTCCTAACTCCTAATTGCAATTAATTAAAGTAAATTAAGATGATCCCGGCCGCATTGTAAATATCAACAACCAATTGATATATAAGAGGTAATTACAGCGCCAGCCAAGAAACTATAAATTGGTTCGGTTGCCATACTTAATTAAATAGCCAACCTCCTAACGAGATCGGTTTGGTTCAGGTTAGTTTATTTAGTTTAATGGGTAGAACTTAGAAGACGGGCCCGTCCTCATTCTCTTATAATGTAGTCAAGTTCCCTTTTTTAGGTCATCAAAACACTTCTATGTAAAATCGCGCTTTACACATACAATTGTTCTAAAATTCTACGCTTTAAGGATTAATAGCTTTTGTTTCATGTACGCTTCTAATCACCAAAATGCTTATATGTTAAATTACGATTTTGACTGCATTGATTATTAGATTAACATAGCATAACCACACTAGTGTGTACACTAGGGTGAGATATATATCCTCCTAAATATTTGGTTTTAGCTTATAAAGTGTGGATCATATGGTAATTAAGTAGTGAATGATAATATGGTATGCTATTAATCCCCTCATCCAAAATCTGAGTTCAATTCCAATAACAAGGTGCAGTTAGCTTGCTAACCTTATAAGGGTTGGAAAAATGACACTCCTGGTATTAAAATGCAACATGTAGAATGTAACACTCTTATTAAATACATTGAGAATTAAATACACCATATTAATTACTTGTTTTTTTTAATTTGAACATACACTAAATACAATTCTCTCTCCCTAACTCTGATCCTTACTTGTTTTTTTTTTTAAAAACGTACCACTACAGTGATACGTGGTACTACTGCACTATATATGTACCACTGCAATTTAAACTCAGATCTGAGATTTGTATCAGTGTACTGATATCGCTATCATTGCAATGGTATCGCTACTAGTGCATTAATAAGCTACCAATGCACTAGTACAAATATTAGATATGAGGTTAAGTGCAGGGGTACAAAATAAACAGTGCAGTGGTACAAAAATCAAATATGGAAATAGAAAAGTCATAGCCGAAAATTGAAAACACACCGAGAGAGGGGCATGGGGGAGGAGCAGCAACGAGGGATGGTAGCAGCAACGGCGGAGGATGGTAACAGTAGGACGACTGCGACTAGAGAGATGAGGGTGGTGGTGGTGGTGGAAGGGGCTGGAGGAGTACGGCGGCATAAGAGATGGTGGCGGCGTTGAGGAAGAGGTTGGAGGGATGGTGGTGATGGCGGCGGCAAGAGGAAGATGAAGATGAATGGAAAAAGAGAGAGGGTTGTTTCTTTGGAGAGAGAGAATGGGTTTCTCATTATTATTATTGGGAACTTTCCCAAATTACAAGATTAAAAAAAACAAAACACAAGTTTCATTAATACTTGCCAAATGATTGAAGAAAAAAATGGACCAATGATGAAGGAGAGTGTAAAAAATTAGACCCATTTAGGGGTAGACATGCAATCTTACCCTAGAAAACATGTACTTTAAATCACTGATTCGGGCCCAAATGTACACATTTTACCCCTCATTTCTTATTAGTTTAGCTTAGTATTTCATCGTTCCTCGACATATTTCACGCTAGATTGTGATTGTTTTGATACATTTCAGGTCCTAGCACGTGTGGAAGGGTCGAGGTCGAATTTTGGGATAATTGGAGGTCAAAAAGCGCATAAAACGAAGAAAAGTCCGGACCGTGACAATTGCCCCGTAACAGTGAAGTGCAGGCGTCCAGGAAGCAGCCACAGTTCACGGTCAAACAAGGGAGTTCACGATCTCCTAAGACCGTGAACTGGAGCCACAAACCGTGAATTTCGAACAGTCTAGCGAGGTTTCAGAGGTTACTGACGCCAGGCGAGTTCACGGTCACTATGACCGTGAACTAGGGCCATTAACCGTGAACCCAAGAGAGTGAAGCGGTGCGTTTTGGACGACACTAAGTTCACGGCCGTGAACTGGCCAATGCAGCCGTGAACTGGTCGCTTTCGGGTAAATATGAAGACAGTAGCGGGGAGAGAGAAGGAGAGCTTCATTTTTTAGGTTAGGTTTTCATTTTTCAGAATCAAGAGGATTCTAGTGAGTAGTTAGGGTTTCTTCAAGAGTGAGAAAGTGTATTCTTCTTCTTCAGATTTTAGAGAGAGAAAGAACGAACCAAAGAAGAAGGAAGGCTAGGGTTTGCTCCAAGTGGTGAGTTGGGAAGATTCTCCCCAAGAGAAGATCAACACAAGCTCAAAAGAGATTTGAGGCATCACCATGATGGTTTCTACCTCTTCCTCGTGTGTTCTTCCCCTTTCTAGCATGGAGTAGTTTTCTTTTTCACTTGGGTGTTGTGAAACCCTAACTATTTGCCATGTAGTTGTTGTGTGAATTGAATGATTGTTTATGGGTGTTGTTTAATTCAATGATTGAAGTATTTTTATGTTGATTGTGCATGTTTGGGCTTAGCAATCTAATTGGCCATTTGAACCTAGATTAGAGGAAAACCCCCTTTCAAGGGAGGCTTAATTGGGTTGGGATTCCTAGGGGTTTTTTAAGCCACCGATCTAGGTTAATGTAGGGCAAACCTCTATGTTGAATTAAGCAATTTGGTTAAGCGCGATTAAACCGACCAACCATTGGGTTGAGTGACAGAGTAAGTCAACCATCCATTGCCTTAACCGAGAGGGCTACTTGAGTAGCCTATAATGAATCCCTTGGTTTGGCAATCGAGAGTGTAGTCTACGATCATAGTTGTGTTTCCTAGCGGTTCGCGGTTACCTTGCCCATAGCAATCACTTCGATTCACATACCATGGTAGTAGTTAGGGGCAAGCGACACGCGAGTGATCCTCCTCACATAGAGCTTTCAAAACCATTTACTTTCCTTGCTTGTTTTCATTGTTGTAAGCCCAAAATCATTTTGCTAGATAACAACTTAAGCGATTGAAGTAGGGGTATATGGACCGACCCGAGTTGACAATTTAAATACTTGACATATACTACACCCGACTAGAGTTTAAAAACTTGGGCTCTAGTTGGGATTAATTTGTGGTGTAGTTTCGTACGAGTCAATCACCCGACATAAAATGATTCAACTCGTTATAATGATCAGTAACCTGCAAACAACCCCAACCCCTAGACTGGAACAACGTAACCTAATTAGTGATGGCAATTCGAATCCGCCCCGCGGGTATTACCCGACCTGACCTGTGATGGGGCGGGTATTACCCGACCCGTGATGGAGCGGGTATTACCCGACTCGTAGTAGCATGGGTATCTACTTCCGACCCACCCTGCCCCGTTCATGGCATATTCTATTTCAATTTCTTATAGAATCTATACATATTTCTCTTATTTTGACTTTTCTTCAACTAGTTAGAGTCGATCTTTCAAGTTGTTAGACTCAATTATCCATCCTATTATCACTATTTTTAATCCATAAAGTGTTTTCCCATTTGTTTTATTGTAAAAAATAAAAATTTTGTTTATTTTTTTCAAATAACATGTAAAAATTAATCGACCTGCCCTGCTCCGTACCCGCACGAATTTTTACCCGTTCTGATCCGCAGTAGCATGAGAGATGAGACGGACATGGGTATTGAGATACCCGCCCGACATCACCGCCATCACTGAAATGTATTGTGGGGAAAATTCATATGGTTGACAATTTTTGCTGGGGTTTTGCTTGTAGCACTTAACCCCTTAGCTAGCTGACATATAGAAGAAGGTAGTTTTGGTAGATCCTATACGATTGCCCAATGAGTATCTGGCTGAATATGAATATGAATATTTTTATTTTCCCAGGGACATGAGTTTTGATAAATACCGATGGTGTATGATGAGAGAGGACAAAGTTTCCTCGTAATTTCTTCCATCCATCCTAGGAGAACCAACCATGGAAAATCCCAACAAGACAGGGACGACTTTTTTTATATATAGCAGTAGGACATGAGCTTCAAAGTCTACAGAGGCGACAACATTGTGTAGACACCTAATCTAATATTTAATTTAATTATTAACAGCACAAGTTTGGTTTACTGTTCCATGCGATTAAATAGCTAAACAGACCGGTTTTAACGGAAACATCTACCATTTACCCCAGAATAATTACGAGGGTTACTGTTCACAATATTGGAGGTTTAATTATGTGGTCCGGTCTATGATAAGCCCGCCCTTGGTAGACAAAGGAGAAAGGCACGGATGATAAGTAATGGGTTGATTGGCCGAACACATATATATGTTAATCTAATTGATCCACGTGTATAGGAAGGGTAGTCATATAGATGGTAATATATTTGGCCTTGAAGAGGATCCTCCACTCTCCTAAGTTAGTTTTTTTAACACAAAAGTTTATTCAAATGTAATATTTTTGGCCTTGAAGAGGATCCTCCACTCTCCTTGGCACGAGATTTTGTGTAACTTAATTTTTTTTATAATTAAACATTTAATTATTAACAGCACAAGTTTGGTTTA